TAATGGCTATGTTGCTGGACTCCCATGTAGTCGACCGTGGTTCGTGTCCCAGACCCGGTGGCTTAAAACTCATGCCGGGCGCGTGTGCGTGTGTACCCTAGGTCCCAAGAGGAGAAAGGAGAAGGGACTGCAGCATGGCCATACCTCCCGGATGGTGATATCTCGCTTTCTGTCTGTCTGGCGAGTGCACGCACCCTATAGCAAAATTCTCTCCAAAAAAGAAAGAAAGAAAAAAAAATTTGAAATAAAATTAAATAAAATAATTCTTTAAAAAATAAATTAAAAAAATAAGTTATAATAATAAATTAAAAAGAAAAACAAACAAAGATTTCGGGGCCAGCAGATAGCATAGCAGTTACATTGCTGGACTATCACTTGGTTGACTATCACTTGAACTGTGGTTCAATTCCTGGACCTGGTGGCTTGAAACTCTCACTAAGCACATGTGTATGCTAGGTGGAGAATGAAGGAGAAGGGATTGCAGTATGGCCATCCTGCCTGGGGTGGGGGGTGATTTCTCAATTTCCCTTTCATTATCTCTGTCTCCCTTTCTCTCTTCAATAAACACATATTGCCCTAAGGCAAAACCTCTACAAAAAAAGATTTCAAAAAAATTACATAAAGAAAATAACAGGAAAGGTCATCTAATAACTAAACAAGTGGTCAAAGTCTCTTAGTTATAAGCATGCAATATTAAACATGACTGAAGGTAAAGATAAGAAGCTTTAACTATGTTTGAAGGTAGATAGCTTAAATTCCTATGAAAAAAGTTTTGTTTATACAAAGAGGATATAAACTTCCAATATCTTTTTTTGGTCTTTTTTGGAGAGTTTTTTGCTATAGGGCACATGCGCTTGCCACCTAAGGCAAAACCTCTACAAAAAAAGATTTCAAAAAAATTACATAAAGAAAATAACAGGAAAGGTCATCTAATAACTAAACAAGTGGTCAAAGTCTCTTAGTTATAAGCATGCAATATTAAACATGACTGAAGGTAAAGATAAGAAGCTTTAACTATGTTTGAAGGTAGATAGCTTAAATTCCTATGAAAAAAGTTTTGTTTATACAAAGAGGATATAAACTTCCAATATCTTTTTTTGGTCTTTTTTGGAGAGTTTTTTGCTATAGGGCACATGCGCTTGCCAAAAAGACAAAGACAAGAGGGACAGAAAGCGAGAAATCACCCCCCGGGGGGATGGCCATGCCGCAATCCCTTCTCCTCCATTCTCCTCTCAGGATCTTGTACACACATGCACACACCCCACGAGTTTAAGCCACCAGGTCTGGGACTCGGACCGCAGTCGACTACATGAGAGTCCTGCAACATAGCCATTACGCCAACTGCTGGTCCCAACTTTTAATATCTCAACGTCCTAAAACTAATTTGACAGATACCTTCCAAGCCAGATAGTTAAATTTCAATTCCTGTTATTTTCTTGTATCTAGAGGGCTAGTTACTTATTCAGTAACAGAGGCATGCACATATCACATGAGAAACTATGTGGGACTTCTTTTTTACTACTTAAAAATATTATAGCTTAAAAGCAGAACACAAACCGCTGTAATGTTTCGTGAGATTGTTAACCTCATTTAGTTCATTTATAAAAAGTAGTCTGCTATAAAAAGTATAAAGATTAGAAAACGACTCTCCTACTTACTCTATACTTCAAAACGCCCACACGTCTTTAAAAAATTAATTAAAGGTTTATTCAGTGGATTCTTCTTTTATCATTTAGCTATAGTCATGATTACAGTTACAGCCCACATTGTTTAATTGTTAACATTTATCCAAATATCCCATTACCTCATAATGGACTCCCTGTCGTGTAATCATTCTACTAACTTGAGACATGGCATATTATAACTGCTTATTTTCATGTCTGACCGGACTAAATAACAGGGATGTTAAGTGTCACTACCCCAAGGGTTAAATAATTTGTATAGACCAGGTCAAGCAATGAGAAAATAAAATGTGCATGTCTGCTACATCTAGAACATCCTTGAACAATCCTCTGGATTACAACTTTTAAATAATTAGAAATAATGACTGATGTTGCATTGAATCATATGAGATTTTAATACTTTTGTTCAGCCAGCTAAACAGAAAATAAGTCACAACTCTGTTTCTGTATTTCAAATATTCAAATATATCAAAGTGTTTGTCTCCATTCATTTCTACCCAAAATGAGACCTTTATTACCAGATGCGTTTTTTATTCAAGTCTTCTCATGTAACTCTGTGGCAACGTGCTTTAAACAATGATTAAGCAGACTAACTTACCCTTTGTCTAAAGTCTGAATCAGCATTTGGATTTAGTCCTAAAAGAGCCTGTTCATCCATCCCTGCTGCTATACTTGGAGTTTTCTGATTACAATAGGCGTGCCTTCTGATCCCACAGAAGAATCCAAAAACATCTGTACACAAAAAACAAAGTTAAGAGAAAACAATCCTTATATAACAAAATAGATGCTTATTCAGAATATAACAAGTGGATAAAATTTTGCAGAGGCTTAATTGTTAAAGAACTTCCATTGAAATTTACAACTAAATTACAGCACAATTACAACTAAAGGAGCCTAAGTCAGAAAAGAATGAGTCCTGCTAAAAACTCCGCTAATGTGTTCTTTCGTTCTTTCTTTCTTTTTTTTTTTTAAGAGAGATTTTTGCTAACAGGCATGAATGCTCACCAGAGAGATAGAGAGAGTCAGAGACAGAGAAAGTGAGAAATAACCTCCCAGGGGCGATGGCCAAGCCTGCAATCCCTCTCCTCCATTCTCCTGGGATTTTCAGCATGTGCATGCCTGGTGTGTCTTTTAGGCTGCAGCATCCAGGGGACTTGAACTGCAGTGGACTACATGGGAGTCTAGTGATGTGCACTATCTGCTGGTTCCCCTTATGTGTTATTGCTAAAAATCTAAAGTATGTCATTAATGCTCTTAGATTCTGTCTTCAAGATCTTCAATAAAGTAAAGAAAGTAATTATTTTCCACTTTAAATGATCTAATGTATAGAGTTGTTACTTATTATCTCCCATACTTCAAAATGCAACTGTGCAACTGTATTAAGATAAAAAAAGATAAACCCAGACTATCTTATTACGGTAATTATAATAATGTGTCTACTTCTAGATACCAATATCATAAACCACTTTAAAAAAAAAATAAAATGGCTGGGACCAGCAGTTAGCGTAATGGCTATGTCGCTGGACTCCCATGTAGTCGACCACGGTTTGCGTCCCAGACCCGGTGGCTTAAAAACTCACGCCAGGCGCGTGTGCGTGCATGCCCAAGATCCCGAGAGGAGAATGGAG